CTCTCGTCTAGGGAGATGCTAGGTGCGTGTGCAATAGAAGATCATAAAAGATGTTAAAAGAAGGACACGACAATTTCTTTAGTACTAAAACTGATAGCAGGAAGGAAAAATCACAGATCACAGCTTCTGGGGAATCACTGCATTGTCTACTCCATCCCCCAGTATTTTCTCAGAGCCCACACCGTCATTTTGGGGGAACATGATCTTTATATGCATGAGAAGGGACCGCTGTCAGCAACTCATGCTACTCATATAAAATGTTTTTCCAGTCAGAAAGGAGAAGTAGCAAAGATAAACTTGTTGATTCCTTCAACAGGAAATAAACTTCCAAGCCTACATGTGCAGCCTGCATCCCGTACATAACAGGAACTTGATGCAGAACTTGTTTGCCTTAATATACATAACAGAACAGCAGAAGAATTTTGATCAGGTTGAAATGGATTTCTTGAAAAATCATTTGCAAAATACTCTCATTTATATCAAAATCTGAAGCAGAAACAGAAGAGGACTTCCGAGCTTAACCACTTGCACCCTAGGCCAGGGTTGATTCAACACCTGCCGATCGTATGAATTTCTTTCTCATTTAGTCTCTGTAATTTTTATAGGTCAGTCCATAAAACTGCTGAACTTAGATGACACTGAAGATCCTGAGATGACAATACCAAAATAAAACGTGTTATTTCAACTTTCTAAAGGACAGTTGGAGAGGGAGGGATAGCACTCTTTTTTTTAACAATAGCTTTCTGGCTAGAGCACCAAAGAATCAAAAACCTGAGGCCCAGCTACTGCATCAAACTGGTGTACATGATCTGTGCAATAGAACAAGGTGCAGGGGTCTCTCCCCTAGAACTAGTGAGATGGTATATCCAAGCAGGCCTGTACTGTGTGGAGATAGTAGCTTCTGCCCTTAAAGCCATATAGCTAGTAAACTAACAAGCGCCTTCCCTCAGCAACCCAACGTGAAATAAGAGGTAGCATGGGAATGGCCCCCATGTCTCAGTGCATGATGTAGGAGCACCAGAATCTTTGTATATGAGCCTCAGTTCCTTGTAAGAGCTAGGGATTTTTTGAAATGTCCTAAAGGGGATATAAAAGAAAAACCGAACTCTCATACGTTTCCTAAGGAACTAAACTCATAGATTTCTTTATCTGATCATCACACTTTTTTCCATTTAAAAACTGGTCATTAATCATTCACTTTCAGGTAATTTTGGGAGAAAACTGCAGTTTTGCCTCTAGAGAAGATAAAAGCTCATGATTCTTGTATTGGTCTCCTCATATATTTTTCTGAAATTTGAGCTCTTGCAGGTTCAAATAATTGGCTACATAGTTGGCTACACATCAGAATTTATTTTGATTTTATGGGTTTTTTTCAGACTGGTTTTGGCTACACATCACTGAGATATCATCCTGATACTTATGCAACCAAATACATTTTGGCTTCCAAAGACCCCTCTGAAGCACACACTTAGAAATCAAATCTTAAACTTTGGTTGAGAGAAAGCTAACATCAATCTTTGTCATTGTCTCAGGAGGAATTCCTAGCTACTTTCCAGCGAACTTCAAGGAAAAACTGTATTGTAGTTAGAATTAGTGGGGAGAGGTTGGACTATACATGTTTTTTCCTTTGTAAGGTGTAGAAAACAGAGTGGGGTACATGTACAATAATGCAAGGAGCAATTGCAATAAATGCGTTAAGCTCCCCAGCAGAGAAAAAACATTTCCTGAAAAATGAATAATATAACATAAAATAATAAGCCTATATCTAAATTCATACATGTGCAGTAGTCTAGACAAATAGATAATGTATTTTTTTCTCAGAGGAAATAAATACATTCAACAGCATGGTTTTCTTATGTAACACAAAGTGTATTCTCTTAACAATGTTATAGCAAAAAGGATGGGTTCCACAGAAAAGTATATGCCATTTCTATCCCCTTTAAAACGGTACTTCAACTGGACAGCAGTAATTATCAGTAATAATTTACTGTTTCCTCAAGGCAGTAATTGAAATGTAAGAACTGTCTCTTTTTCCAGGTTTGTCCTCAACTGTGCAGGCAGCTTCTGCTAGCATTATCAATCAGATAGCAGGGATTTTGCACAGAGCAAGCAATCAAGACAAAAAAAGCACATGTTATTGCCAGCATCCTTCCATAAGTTCTCTTCTGTAATCTGGCAACTGAAAAATTACATGTCTTTTTCTTGAACAAGTAACTGCTGAGTTCAGTACTGTTGCTCTACACTGAGCCATCGCTGTAGAAGAGGTAAAGATAATGATACCTCTTAACTCCGAAAGGTTTCCTGGAATAAATCTCACAAAATCCCCACTGTTCTGCCTTCACACAGTGTGTGTTCACATGGTTCTCCTCTCATTGCAGCATCTGAGCACTTACCATAGAGAATTAGAGTTTAGGCACTTCTCCCCACTGTTCAGCTGTACACCGTGGTGTATCTGGTAAACATGAACTATCACAACCCTTTTCTGTCATCCTAACGCATATATTATCAGCTGCCACGCCTGTTAGCACCTTACTGAAGGTGCTCCCTTTTACTTTTTGCTGTATCTTTTAGTTCTACTACAGACATAAAGCTCATGAAAGTGATCCAGTACCCTGGTTTGGAGAATTACTCCCATCTGTAGTGGGATTTCTTCCTTGTCACACTACTGTTTTGTCATATTTACAAGGTGCAAGGCTACAGCAATTAATCTACTTAGAAACACAGGTCTTCTTTAGGGAAACAAAATTAGTAAAATTGTATATTAAAACATGTTACTAAGACTATATTCAACAATAAAGAGCTTAAATTTCTTCAACATCTTCTCCAAATGCTCGGTTAGCCTCTAATTTATCGGAGAGAGATGAAAACAGAGAGTTCTTAGAGATACACCTTTCTTGTGTTGTCTGTAAACAGTTACTCAAAGAACCTCCTTTGAGAGAGCTCCTCCCGATCCTATCCTATCCTATCCTATCCTATCCTATCCTATCCTGATTGCTGTTTACCTGCCCACACTTCATATGTGTGAGCACTGAAAGAAGACACTAAATAATTTCCTTTATTTCTCCTTTAAACAGTAAGGATTTTTTAAATATTAGTTCTATCATATAATTCAATCAGCACAGTCAAGACTTCAGCTTTAAATAAAGCCTCCTTGGTATGAGCTCTCAAAAGCACAATGGAAAATCCTCCCAAATTTTTAAAGAATAATTGGTTACTTTATACATTTTAGCATCAAAACAAACATTGGGTTTTCCTCAGCAATAGAGACTATAAACCTGATACATCATCATAAATAAATGATCACATTGGGTAAAGGGATGCTGGGACTGCACCTTTTGAGTATTTTCCAAACTTTTGAAATAAATGACTTTTTATTCCATCCTAGCCTGTGGGAAAAACCAGCATGATTGAAAACTGGAAATGCGGTGGGTGTTGAACTATATAATAACAGTGTGTGAAGATGTTACGTAAGTAAATTGAGTTAATGCTGATGACAATGGTTGCTTTTAAACCAAAAGATTCTCTTTCTATCACTGAAGAAGTGAAAGTAAATAAATCAGTTAATATTTCTGACTATTGTAATTTTTGTTACTCATTAAAAAAGTTCCTAATTTTTTTTGTTCAGCTTTCTTCCCAGAGATAACAGTATCCTTACCATGCAAGGAGTCTGCATCCAAGGTTCCCCATCTATCTGCATAGGCAGAGACTTGCTGGTCCTAAAAGGATATATTTCATAGTATAAGAAAAAGTAACTAGACAAAATTGATAAATATATTTATTAAGGAGGTATATATGTGATGGCACACACATATAATCCTGATTTACCCATAAACTTCCATGTAATCTCCAGTATGACCCAACATGCTTACAAAAGTAACCTAGTCACTTAGTAAGCTTAGTCTGATTTTCAACACACAAAGCAAAAACATTGCAAACGTTCACACATCTTGCTAGTAATACACTACTCCCTCACGGGAGAATAGTCTGTAATTTGTGAAATAAAGAGTGAATTACACAAGAACTTCAGGAATAAACCTTATTAACTGAAGAGACAAAGGAACCTCTGCTATTTTTTATAATTTAGACTGACTACTATAAAGGAAATAAGAAGTAAATTTTATCTCTATCATCACCATTTATTAGAAGCGTAAAAGATGTTTTTACGCTTCTGTCTAAATCTAAGTTAGACAGAGCACTCACAGAACATGACAGCTGTACTATATTCGGAGGCTTTAACATACCATGTTATAAATTTAAATTGTTAGTAGAGGGGCACTGATTTTAACATAAAGCTATAGCCAGTGTTCCCTGTCTAGTTTTGGATACCACATTAAGAAAAGTATAGACAAATGAGAAAGAAAAAAAAAAGAAAGATCTTTTCGGGTCTTTTCCAACCCTATATTTCCACATTGTAATAGTTTGCATACAAGACTATTAGAAATAACACGGAGTAGATAAATCTAATAATGGAAAAATGAGTCAACTGAGCACTCATGTTGGTCAATGGAAATTCTGGCTTGGACATTATTTGAAAACAACTAACAGTTCATGGGATTTATCCACTGTTATCCATGGCCATAAGTGAGGGAAGGGAAGAAAGTTCAATGAGCTCTCACTTTATAGGTTTGGAAGGGTTCTGAATATTTTGCAGTTGTGGTCCTGCTGATGTGGGATTATAAAAATTATCTCTTGGTATCCAGAGAAGGTTGGAATGCTTCTGTGATCTTATTTCTCTTCCTCATTCACGTGAGAGAGTACTATTGAAGTCAACATCACCCAGTCCTTGAGGAGAATCTCAAAAATATGCCAGGCACATTGGCAAATCCTACTTATTTTCTTAAAGTTTTTATTGCTGTTCTTCTGTTTTATGCTCATTTGAGGCTTATAATTGTATAGCTTATGATTTTATTAAGATTTTGGAAAATTCTTCCTGAGAATTTCTTCATTGAGGAAGAGTTGACCATCTCTCTCTTTTCCAGTCCTTATCTAATCCAAAAGTTAGAATAATTATTTCCTCCTTGAGTCCTAATCCAAGTTTCCTCTATTGTGAATGTTCTGCTCACTTTTAGCATAGTAAATGATAAAACACAACTAAATTAGCATGCTCTACCATTAGCAGCTTACACATACCAACATATTTATTAATAGTGACTTGTCAGTGTTCAGTAAATAACAAATAAATTAAAAATGGAGCACTTTGACTTCTACAGATCAAAAAAGTGCTTTCCAAATACTAATTACATGCTACTAATGCCTGGTGAGGTATGCATTATAAATGGGTTAAAACATGTCAAAGTAATGGTAAATGACTTTTTGCTCAAAACTGCATGGAGTATATGTCAATAGTAAACCCCAAGATGTTCATGTCTTACTCCTTCTGCTCCAGCTGCTTGACAATATTTCTTCATAGGATGAAATGACAGTTGAATACAACATGTGAAGACTGAATGTAAACACCCTTTTTCTATTTTTTTGACACATTTATAGGAAGGAAGATGTGTGGGTAGAATATGGATGGAATAGATATATTTCATATATAAAAATGATACTTTCACGAGCAATAAGTACAGTAATTATGACTATTAAACTACCAAAGAAAGTGAACCAATAATATATAAAACTTTACTGTTTCATTACAACAGTGCAGTTGCAAATTAAAGCTGCTGATACCTGATGACAACAGATGAGCACTGAGCAAGCCGTCTTCCAGCACTTTTCAGTCCTGTGTATATCTGCCCCATCTCCATGGCTCCTTCCAAACCAACCACTTCCATAAGCTGGTCACTTAGATCTGCAAAAGTTGAAAAAACACATTTTATCTAGACAGCATTTTGACAGTGGTCATCCTGACTAGCAAGAATTGTCAGAATACCAGCTGATAATAAAAGATGTGGAGAACAGAACTGGCAAAAACCATGATTCCTACGAAGCGATTGCAGCTTTAAGGTTGGACACATCTGGGCCTGTTGTCACACCATTCTAAAATATCCTGACCAAAATGATTCTAAAATACAATAATAATCTCAATGGTATATTTTAATACATACATACTGAACAAATAATCTTATTATATGAGAAAATAGGAGACACTCCTTCATTTAGGTTACCTGACACTCACAGGATGAGATGATTGCCGTTTAGAAATTTATGCTGTCCATTGTTTCAACAGATATATAAAATCTGGTAAAGGGAAAGTCAGTGCTCCAGACCCTATCGGATTCTGTTCTACACAATCTTTTCCAGATGATATGTACAACTCTAATTCAGCTTTTGTGTGCATGCATTATTATAGTCTTTAATTGTGAGACCACATATTATTTTTTAACATTGGATCTTAGTCTCAATTAGTGCACAGATTCAATGCAAAAAGGGCAGAAAAAACCCTTATATCAGCAACTATTCATCTAGTTTTCCTGAACTTTGTAGTGCTTGCTTGCACCCAGTTACATATTTTTGTTTCACACTGCTTTTTGATTACATAGCATTTTGGCATTAAACTTCAAAAATATTTAAATAAATACTGTCTCTGGTAAAATAAATATTAGTTTGCTTGACTTCAAGGAGCAAGGACAAATTCTGTATAGAATTGCAGATACAAACAGAGATACAACCAGAAACCTAAACAGTAATATAGCAGTCTGGTTTGAGAAGCAACCAAGCAAGGTAATGAAATATTATCCAGAATCAACTAGGGCGTCTTGTATGAAATGTTTTATATGTTCCTGTTTAAATACATGTTGCCAAGAGCAGATGGACAAGAAAAAGAAACACTTTTTTTTAGCTGTATGTGTGTTTTATACATTGGCTGTTAATATCCAAGTTTCCAAAAGGTACACTATTCGGTGAAGCACAGCAATGACCTAAAATGTTAAAGCCTCTCATCACATTGAAAAAACAAAGAAAGGAGAGCACATTACTCTTTGTATATTTTAAACCCTTCAACCTTTAATGAAGGTAGAATTTCATGCTAATTATCATATCTATGAGGCTAGTCCAAAGTTTCAAAGGGAGTCTTTTCTGTTCACTTCTTTGGGCTTTGAATGAAGGTAATTAACTGAAAGAAGTACTGCGATAAGGGGGGAAAAAAAGTGTTAAAAGCAAATAGGATTTATGGTCTGGATTGTTCTGCTTCTAACCAGAAAATCTGATACTATCCAAAGCCTTAATTTTTCTTCTTATAATTTCTTAATATTCTTTGCTATTTTCATTTTCTCATCACAGTGAAATCAGTTCCGTATAATATTAATGAAGCAAAAATAAACCCTATTCTTTCCTATTAAGGAAAAACAATAAGATGGACAAAAGATTAAAATACACAATATGATTAATTTTAACTATACATTTTAATAGTTTGCATCCCTGTAACACACGTAAACCCAATTTTGTATGTCTGGCTTTCCGCTAAATTGTTTTTCTGTTAAAATGTTTTCCTTAAGTTACTCACTTTTAAACTTAACTCAGATTTAAACAAACTCTGCTTTTCTTGATAGCCATAGGGATTTCCATGGGAGAGTCCTACTCATCTGCAAAAGCTATTATATTATAAAAGCACACAGAATTTTATAGATGTACTAAATTGTTAAAATGTTTCCAGCCAAAGAAAATATCAAATTCCTATTCACTGGGTTATTAGGAAATTATTATTTTTTAAACGGGAGAATAATTAAGAACAGATTTTTATTACTGACAGCTCAGGCAACATATGCAAGATTCAGAATAGTGACATTTGCAGCGATATAAATTTGATGCATCATTTTTCAATAGCTGTGAGATTAGTGCCAGTAACAGCAGGTAACTAAGGGCCAAATCCTGCCCTTTGATCTATACCACACATCTCAAAAAATGTGGTATATTAAACATTGGAAGATGGAACTGAACAATACTCTTATCTACCAAAAAAGTGAAGCCTTTTCAAAAACTTCACATTTGCAGTGGCACATTCCCAAAGTGGGGTTATTTTAGGCCAAATATGAATATTTTTAGAATCAATCTTAAATTAGACATAACCTTCCTTCAGAAGCAGTAAAAACTAAAGCAAATGTAACATGCAATTATCAACTTAGGGTTAGTCCGCGCTCCTGCCCTTGCTAATACATTTGGTGTGATGGTTTTGCATAGTCATATCCATTTCAACAAATCCTTGAGCTATATTGACTTTGATAAGAACTCAGAGTGAGCAAAAGTGGAAAAAGGAGTGTGTATATTTTAGTCCCATTCTTCAAAGATGTTACATGGCTATAGGTACACTGGTTGAATATAAAGGGTCAAGACAGCAATGAATGGATTACATTTGTTCTTAAAAGGTCCCCACCAAAGACTCTGAAAGAGACTAAGCTCTATTCAAAGAGATCAGATCTTCCATTAAATTAAAAAATAGGAAAGGGGAAGTCATTCTTCATTCTGGCGGTAGGTTATCACTGATTTCTCAAAAATATCTGTGCTGGCCTCCATACTGCCCAACATATTCCCCTAAATAATCTGGAAACAGAAGTAGATAGTGAGTTACTGAGGTTTCAATGAAGTAAAGACAAAAGCCAATTATAAAAAAAGTTTTGGTATTTTACAGTACTGAGTAATGGGGCAGTACAAAGGCAGAAAATTCAATACATGCAACTTAATGCCCATGAGGGGAAACAGAGCTAACTACATATATCAGAGCTAACTACATATATGTAGACTGTTATATGCATATATATTACATTTGAAAATAAATATGGTGTGTGTCTGTGTGTATACGTCCATATACACATGTATATTTATTTTGCTGGGCTACAATTAATACTGTCATTCAGGAATTAGGATTATGGAGTTCTGGCTACTTCTATGAAAATATCAGCTCAATGCTCAATAGTGATCAAATAGCATCAACTGTTATGATTGGTACATCCATACATTATGGGAGTTTGTAGTTCCGCCCCACTCAGCAATGCACAGGAAGATATAAAATAACTGGAAACGACAGAGCAACAAACACGGTAACAAAGATGGAACAGCTTCTGTATGAAAATAAATTAGACTAGGACTCTTCAGGAAGTAAGGAAATGAATGGAGGAAAGATGATATAAGCAGAGAAAATAATGAGTGTCATGGAGTAGGTGAAGACAGTACTGTAATTCAGTATTTCTCAAAATACAAGAATTAAGGAGTTTCACAGCACTTCTAGAACAAGCAGGAAATCCTTTTTACGTAATATTTTGTTATACCATGATACCATACTAGATTTCAAAATTCCCTAAATCACAAATTGATACATATTTGGTAGGGTATCTTAATGGAAGAATCACTGTAAGTTTGCCCTCATACTTTATTTCTAATCATGCAATACAGGTTGGTGTTAGAGGTCAGATACTGAGCTACACGAACTTGTGGGTTGACTTAGTATCACTGTTCATGTTGTCTTCTTATCCATCTTATAAATTGTAGACCAGAATAATGAATGCTGCTGATCACTAAACATCATTCATCACTTAAAACAGCTTATAATGTGGACTTTTCCGTGACATGTAACCCAACTGTGCTTGAGACCCAATTCATCAAGTCACTTCTTTTAGATCCTCAAATTATATTCTCAAGTTACACAGCCGTGTGTGCATCTGTGTGTGTCTCTACCGATTATAGAGCAAAAAATATATCTCTTTTTAGGCATGTTGTATTTCTTCTGCGTTCTACAGATTTTATTCTAAAGAGAAAATAATTAATTGGTGACTGTACCGATAAAATTCTCCAAAGCATGCTTCACCTATTATAACCAGTTTTAGGAGGTTTAGGTTTAGGGAACTGAAGGTTAGATTTTCCAAAAGAATTTAGCAGCTAACAGCTAACAACAGCAACTACCAGACACTGAGCAGCTTTTCAATCTAACCACGTCATTTAGTTGCCTAAATGAGAGCTGAAGTCTCATAGGTAAGCTATCATGGAGAGCATCTCAGTACTAGTGCATTAGGAAAGTGTTTTTTGACTGGTGCTTTGGGGTTCTTAAGTCCGTTTGTTCTACTTTAAGCTCTGTGAAAGAGCTGAAGGCTCTCGCTTGTTTTCTATGTGAATGAGCCATTAGAGTGTGTGGGAATGTTTTCACAGCACCATGCCTCTCCTGCCCTCTTCCACAAACCAAAGTACTTCACGTGTCTCCTCACATTAGCCCGGTCAGTAAACAAAGCCAGCTCTCCCAGGGGAGCGCTGCTGTCAGCAGATGGTGACTAGCATGCAGAGGGGCATCTGACCCCTTGCACTCATTCCTGATGAGGAGATAAAGTCACTAGGGAGAGGACTGTCCATTCCTTCCCATCAGGCAGCAGGAGAAAGAGAAGTCCAAACAAAAACTTGCACAAGTGGCAGACAAAACACTGTATGTGAATATAAGCCCTTTATAGCACTTCCCCAAGGCATGAAGAAACACACTTGTAGACTTTAAAGTTTCCCAGTGAAGAATTTACATTATCCATTAGCTTGGCACTAGCTGAACGCTTCAATATGCAAAGCGAACACACAAGAGAAAAACACATTTGGAATTCATCTATGAAGATAAAGCAAGGAAAGCAAAACGGGGAAGGGGGTGGGAAGAAGCATGGTGTGATTAGAAATACTGATTTACATAGAGAACTTTCCCTCTGTAATGGAACTGGTTTTGATATCCAATTTATCTTTGCAATATATAAATATTGCTGTCCTGGAAAGAGATTGAATGACACTATTATAACTTGGGGTTACTGCACTCACTCAGGCACATTTGCATAAAAACACTGTTGGTCAGTGGTAAATCTGTCTCTGGCAGCAGTTTGTCTTCGAAGAAAA